ACCGTGACTCTAAAACCGTGATACAAACCGAACCGTGAGTAAGCTGAACCGTTCCACCCCTAGTACGTCTGCAAGATGTCTTAAAGATTGCTTCACCTGGAAAGCATCTGCTGTGTACAAAAATCTGATTGACATCTTTCAGACGTCAGTTTTACAAACATTCTAAATCATATACATCTTAAAGACATCCTAAACGTCTATTTGACATCTCATAGGAAACGTCTTATAGACGTATTGCAGATGAGCAAACAAAAAAATATGTCTTGCAGATGTAAATGCAGACGTCAAATAGACATCTCAGTGATGTAGCCCCTGTGCTATCAGGGGTGATATTGCTCTCGCTGATCATTTGATATCGCTTATCATATGATATAAATATGAGACACAAACTCATATTGGGGCATTTTTTTACCCCAATACCTTACATTTTAAGGGCATATAACTTCATTTTATAGGCTACATCATGCAGTGAGTTGTTGCCCTGAATCATGTTTGTCAACAGTCAACTCTACGAAATGTAAGATGACGTATACTCTTGGGCAGGGCCAAAGCGTTAATTGCATTAAAATATTTTAATATCATTATTTTTCCATAACTAATCAATTAAATGAATGCGCTAAAACGAGTTAAAAAGTTATTAATATTATTAGACTGATGTCTGGCTCACATTCTTATATAGGCATTGTAAAGTGCAAGTTGGCTGCAAGTTTGTTTTACATGCTGGAGCCAAATATAGATTAATAGTTAAAGTTGTTAGTTATTTTATTTTACCATTTCTTGGTATTTTTTGGAGATAATCGGTGAAGCTTTTCCAGACTTGTGACGTCTCCTTTTGCTTTTCTTTTTCCTTTTCGCTGCTCTCCTGAAGGAAAAAAAACAATTGAATGTAATTTATTGTTTTCAATTTTCCCTGAGATCTTTAACAAATAGTTAGGTTAGGTAACTACCACTAGAAAATCAAACTAGAATTTATATGACACATGTTCCTCCATTCACTGTGTTTTATCAACATGTTTTTCCAAAATGAACTGAGACAGAGGGAGAGGGTATGAACATTAGCTACATTTAGTTGTGTCACTGCACTGGAAATATCCATTTTACAACAATCATAATTAGCTAACCACAATTGATGGCACTGGCTCAATAATAGACATCATCAGCAGGGTTATTATATAGTTAACTAAAACCAAAACCATAAAAAAGGTACTTGAAATAAAATTAACATTACCTAAATTAAAATATTAATATTATATGAATATTATTTTAGCTAGTTGCCAAAGCAACATTTCTCATTTTCATGTAGCTTAACTTGATGTACTAAAAAAATAAATAAAACTTATTAAAAAATATTTAAAAAAACAGTATCTCTGTTATACCAAAATGACACTATCATCAGCAAACTAAATAGGTTCATTAAGAACCACTGTCTTAAGTGATAAAAAAAAAAAAAAATTTCACTTATTCTGTCACTATTTACCCAAACAATTGTGGTTTGAAAGTTTAAAAAGACGGGAGATTTTCAATGAATAAGACTTAAGTTTCAGTCTATTTCTCACACAAAGCTTTTTTTCAAAACGTTGAATACTTCCTAAATAAATTGTCATTTGAAATGGTAATACAGCCCTCTAGGGGATGAACCCTGTAAATGCGACTCACAATAAAGAAGCCCATCACAGCAAAGCCATCTTGAACTTTTGCTGCGGTGCTGTCATTAAGATCACTTCTCCGGCTGACAATGTGCATCTGCATAGGAAAATACGACACGTGAGTCTAAATGCAAGCAACATTTTCCATGTCTGTCACAACTTGATCTTGCAGGCCTCATCTCTAACTTCTAGAGGTGATCTGTGTCCGTTCAGAGAGTGCTCGGATCCCGGATGATTCACCAGGTCCTCTCCACCCCAATGGAAGTGGAACTGCAGGACGGTGTATTTGTGCTTCAGACCTCCTGCTCGAACTCCCACTGCTCCTGCCTTCAGCTCACACTCAACTGCAGGGATAGCATGGAGGAGGACGCGGATAAGACGTGCAGCTATGTTTACATATGTGCATACAGTAGGCTGTATTCCTGATTCCACACCTGTGTGTCCGTTATTCTTCAGCATCTTCATGGTGTGAGGAAGACTGAAGTTAATCAGGTCAACAGATCCCAGCTCTTGGTTTTTAACGACTTTCTGGGTGTCGATGTTGATTGGAGACTGTTTACGCCCATTACATTTGAGATAGTGTTTGCCCCAATGAGGGAGCGAGTTTTCTTTAAATAAATAAATAAGTAAATAAATAAAAATAATAAGTACTAAGTCAGGAGAAGACAATTTATTTACATTTCAAATTAATTATATAAACCTATAAAAAAATAATGATGAAAATGACACAACAAAATGACCAAAATCTTACTAAAATTAAAATGAAAACAGATATATAAAAATGAAAACTAATCCAAAATATTAATAAAAACTATAATAGTATCTCAGTGATATTGAAATATGGCAATATGACAGTCATAGTCACTTTTCTTTTATGTATTAAATACGAGTATTTAAGTGTCTTTCTATGGAAGTATTATTTTATATACTATATTACAATAGACATATTGTCTCTTCATTTTAACTGGACTGGGCGAATGCAACTTATTGATCATGAGCCCAACATCCAGCAAGGCAGGGAAACATTCAGTCTACCTGAGGAAAGACGTCTTTCACTATCGTAAGTTAAAGCTGTTAAATGGAGAGAGAGAAATACATTTTAAAAAATTTAGCTTCTAGCATATAAACAAAAGCTCTAGAAAAATACAATGAATTACAAGGCTGTAGAGAACAGTGCACTATTGCAGACTGAGGTTTTAATTATTTTAATAGCTCAGTCGTAAATTAAAGTGGGCCGGTCTAAGCCATGAAACTCCAGGGCTGAAAATGAGTCCCACTCCGGCCCTGATTAAATCGGTAATTAGAGGTGGATTTGTCAAGGTAAAAGTAGTCAATGATTGGGTAGACTGAGTTTGCTCACAATTAGAAATAATCGGTTCCTCACCAAAGGTCCCACATAAAGCATCCAACTTTCCCTGAAAGTTTCATATTCAGAAATATTTAGAAACATATTTTATTTAAGGGTATATGAAAATGTAATATTGCTCACCACAGCCAAAATAGCACCAATCTAAAATAAATTTGAAAGAAAAAGGAAAACAAGGTCAGCTCTATAAACTGCTTTAGACTCTTCTTCACACTCGGTTGTGTTGAAAGTGAGAGTGGCGAAAGAAGAGACATGCCAGGAATTAACTGTTAAATCAACTATAGTGTGTACATTTTGCCTGATCCCTATATAGTCCTGTGTTCTGTGACGTGTTGTTCTTAGAATAAAAAATAATATGCATGAATATATTTATAGTTCTATTCAGTGACAACCAAAATAAAGCTGATTCAACCAACACAACAAGAAAGTGACAGAAAATACTCACCTTTTGCAATGCTGAAGTCAGACAATAAAATAGCAACCACACATGTCTTGAGAAGCATCTGCTTGTTAGAAATAAGCATTTTTTGCATATTTTCACATTAAATCAGAAGATATTTGATATTTTGTCAGTGTAAATGTTTCCTGGGTTACACTACATTTAATCCTTAAAACATTTTAGCTACTGAAAAATGTTGAAAACATTTAGTGAAAAAATTAATGTGGCAACTTACCATTGCACAAGCTACAGTGCCTTTATTTATTTATTATTTTTTAACAGACCACAGTATAGCAAAATGTTGGGCTATTCAGGCTGTCATTGACTCTGAATGTTTGTATGTACTAGTCCACAGAGTGAAAAAAATAATTTCCTGTAAAGGAAATGGGTTTAGGTTTATGCACTCACACATACAGTTCCATATATACAACATTTTACATTTAATTCAATGTGTTACTTGCCTTTTCTTTGTAATTGTTTGTGAAGTATATTAACAATGACTGAAAGTGAAAATTTTTGCCCACCATTTTTTTCTTCACATGCTCAGTCATAATAACAAACAGCTTATATTCAGTGCACTCTCCATTACATGACTTTTAGAGAAGGGAAGAACTTAGTTTCCACTCTCTAACCAAGTTTTCACACCTTACGAGGGAGGTTTCTGTTGTATGAGCAGAGCATGACAAAGTGCAGTTGTTAGTCATTTACTTTTAATAATCTGAATGAATAGTGTATTGAATAGACACAATTGCATTGGAAGCTAAGAACAAACAGTGTATAAAAATATGTATGAATTAATATGCAGATGTTGAAGCTATTTCTTCATTACTTTCCTCCATTTGAAGATCACTAATCGTACTACCAGGATTTGACAGCAGTGCCTGTTGAAGTACAGCATGTGCAATGAACACTACTACAGTATTTTTGCATCTCATCAGAAGGCTATCTGTCATTTCTTGCATTTGTTCAATTTCCCAACATGAAACATGTCCTAAATTAAAGTGATAGCTTACCCAAAAATTACAATTGTGTCATCATTTACTCACCCTCTAGTTGTTCCAAACCTGTAGGAGAATATGGGTAACCAAACAGTTGGAAGTCAGTGGTGACCGTAAACTGTTTGGTTGGCCATATTCTACAAAATATATTTCTTTGTGTTCAGCAGAAGAAAGAAATTCATACATGTTTGGAACAACTTGAGGGTGAGTAAAAACGTATTGTGTATAGTGTATCTGTTTATTCACACACTCATAAATTATACATGATTATTTAAATTGACACTGATTAATCTGAAACCGTACAGACAGAATTGACCCATTCATGTTGACCTGAACTTTTGTTATTACTGTTGTTATTCAATGTAAATTTCTCCGTATATGTACAAAAGCTTGGGGTCAGTAAGATTTAATGTTTTTGAAAGAAAAGTCTCATGTTCACCAAGACTGCATTTATTTAATCAAAATACAGTCAAAAACAGTAATATTGTGATAAGTACTAAATAAGATCATTTGCATGTAATCATATTTGTTATGCATTTAATGCAGCCTGTAAAGTCACCTTTAAAGTACTATTAAATGATAAACATTAAGGTCCTGACCGTTCCTCGGTTATATTTAAGATAGGTTGTCCACTCCCATCACTGGCCTCAGAGTGAAAATCCCCAGATCTCGCCAGCCAAATAGACAGGCCTACAAGTGAACGATTTGAACGCTAGTCTGTAGTTCCTCTGTTCACCAAAAGATGACGCTGTGAAGAATGCTGAAAGTATTCAGAGCAACGTGTTCACAGTGCTGTAGGTGAAGTTGAGGACAAAAAATACACACAAAAATCAGGCTCAACATAAAACTATGCTGATAACAGGTATGAATACATTCATAATGTGATTATTCTGCAAGTATTGTTTTGAACAGATGTTGCATCCTTACTGGTAGAGAGAACCACTCAGTACATCAAGAATTCCACCTAAAAACAAGCAAACATTCCAAAAATATAATCCAAAAAGACTTAATACATTAACACTTAATTAAATAACACATATATTGCTCACAAATAGTGCTTGGATCATCTGTGTAAGCTAAGTATATACACTGCTTTTTTTTTTACTTTGATACATTAATAACATTAACTAAGAGTGTGCATCCTATTAACATCAGCATCCTACCTGGCTGGCAGACTGTTTCACAGATCACTGGACAAATGTAACAGTAGGAACAATCCTGTGGAAGGAGAAGGTAAGAGGGTAGGTGATGCATAACATGTTCATAGACCTTTTTTTTTATCAACATTAAGATCTGAAGTTAAATTAGGTATAGTGCTTGGGTGTCCACATACTTTTGGCCTTTATTAATATGAATTTTGATCATATTAAGAAAGAACACCTACGTCACAGTGATTGCAGTGTGCTGACGTGTCTCCTTCCTCACAGGGACATTTGTCACAGGTACCGCAGTGCTGAGAAGAAAGAGAGAGGCAGACAGAGATAGAGTAGGAAGCTACACCTCTAAGGTTTATGAAGGGATCACACCAAATCTATACTTCAGTAAGTTAATGGTGAAATTACCTCATGCACTGATCATCGTCATGATGTCATCAGGGTCAGAAATTAACTTGATTGATTTCCAGGCCTTTTTTTTTTTTACTTTTATAAGTGCATTTTCTAAGATTACCTTATTAAATTTATTGTTGCCTTTTATGTCAAATACTTAACTATAACCAATTGCTAAAATCAATCAGAATACTGTAGACTGTTTTACATTTACATATAACATTTTATCAACATCAACAAAAGTCAACTTTACACTGCAATGGTGGAACAGAAGCTGCATCTCACACGGCATGTTTATTTAATTTTGCTTAAAGGTGGCATGCATGTAGCCTACTTAAAGGATAGAAATGATAGAATTAAAGGAATTCATTACAGGGCAGAACTGCAATATTATGACAAATTGTTTATTATTGCTTCTGATTTTGTAATAATGATTATTAATGTTGAGTAATAGAATATATTAAAAAGTAGTTTTTATGTGCGGGGAAATGGATCGTCATATTCTTGTAGGCTACACAGACAAAACAAGGTAAGAACTGTTTATGAATTTGTTTATTGTTTTCCATGCATTAGAAAATCAAGATTATATACTCTCGCAAAAAATCCTTTTTATAATCCCATGAAGCTGTCTACACTGCACAATTAATATCTTTACATTGTTTACATCGTAGCAGCAATTTGTTGTTTATGATGAGAGAGAATCCGCAAGAGTGCAAGATTCATTCAGCACGTGTATGCACTGAACGAAACTCTGGCATTTTCAATGGATTTCTTCATCACTTACTAATATAAATGGTTTTGATAATTCATTACATTCATATGAAATAATTTTTTTTAAAATAAATCTTAAATAAATAAAATCTTTTAAATAAAAAAAGCAGTGTGGAAGAAGCATGATTTACCTCTCTCAATTCATCACAATAGGCTTTATTCAATTGTGCAGAGGTCATTTTTGTCCCCTTATCTTGAATTTGGGAGACATTTTTGTTCATTTTGGTGGCATTTTTGCCCCAAGCCCCAATAAAAAACTCTGTAACGTGTAAGCACTATGGCATGTGTGAGTCAGTAATGTCAGTTCTTCATCACTTACTAATATAAATGGTTTTGATAATTCATTACATTCATATGAAATAATTTTTTTTTAAATAAATCTTTGATGCAACGTGAGGAGATGTAAACGTTATGCTGCAATGCGCATTTTTAATTCATTTTCTCAATTCATCACAATAGGCTTTATTCAATTGTGCAGAGGTCATTTTTGAAGCAGTGTGGAAGAAGCATGATTTACCTCACAGACTGAGCAAAGGGCACAGAAAGAGCCTGAGCTATATTGTATGGAGACCAACTCTGCCTCTACATTTTCTTCCTTGGCAGTTTCTACAGAGAGAGAAAGATTAGGGTTAACAAAGATCTTAATTAGTAATGGGTAAGGCACCAGTGCTATGTTCAAAAGCAAGTATAGTTAGACTAGGGTGACCATACGTGCCATTTTCAAGGCAATATAGAAATCCTGGCCAGGACGCGTCCGGGGAAAATGGCCCGTATGGTCACCCTAAGTTAGACCTGGTTGTGGCTGGTTGGGACATTGCTAGGCTTCAGCTGTAAAGCAATCAGTGGACAAGTACTTAATTAGTAGTTGATTCTGAAGAGGAAGTGGTAGCCCTCCTTGTGTAAAAACCTGCAAATCAGTCTCCATAGTTACACTGAGAAAAAACACCAACAAGGCGGCACCTACTGTACAGCAGCGTTGTCCAATTATTTTCCTGGAGTGCCACCTTCCAGCAAAGCTTAGCACCAGCCCTAATTAAACACACCTAAACCAACTAATAAAGGTCTTCAGGATCACTACAAACTCCCAGGCAGGTGTGTTGGAGAATCCTGGAGGCAGGTGTGGTGGAAACTCTGTAAGACAGTGGCCCTCCAGGAGCAAGATTGGATGCCCCTGGCACACCTTAATACTTCATTATTTTTCAGCCATTCTTTTAACGTGTGCTTTTTAGTACCTCCTTTTTGTTTACTGTAGGTGGACGTCCAATCCAGGGTACCTACAGTATGCTCAGTCTTTCTCAGTCTGTTGGAACTTCCAGTTGGCGGTCAACAAAGCTGACTTCATCCCTGCCTTGGACAGTCATCAAACCTCTTAAAATGTTTTGGTCTGACAGACAAGTATCATGCAACAAAATGACAACTCTCTAAATTCTCTCTACCAACTTTGTCTCCAACTTTGGAAATCCACTCCTCTCTCTTCTCTCTGCAAAACACATCCTTATAATATCAATTACTGCTACTAAGACTTCAACATCCACCTGGACGAACCTCAAGCGGCTGACTTCCTAGAATTTATGGCCTCATACTCCGCTGCAGCACACAATGCAAGCTCACCCATAACTGTATCCCTAACAATAATCTTGTTACTTTCTTACATTTCTCTAAAACACCTTTTTCCACCAGTTGTCTTTCATTCTCTCTGAATCACCGCTGACTTGAGCAAGTATCAATCTCTCATCTCCTTCTTCTCCTTTAGTTGATTCTTCTGCCAAGGTCACTTACTACTGAAACAAGATCAGCAACACTGCAGACACCTACAGACTATTCACAGGATTTTGTACAAGAGATCTCTCCAACTCCACTCAATCACATCAATGCGTCTCCTACTACTGGCTACTTTCCCACCATATTTAGGCAAGGCTTGGTTGACCCCACAACAGTTAACCCTACAGCAGTTGAAAGCTAAAGACTAGTCCTGCCAACTTTTCTGTCAAGTTCTTGAAAGATTTGTTTAGTCAGGTCAAAGGTTTCCTGGAGAGAATATGTGTCCAAGTCACATCGGCTAATCATTGGGGTGCAGGGTTCGGTGTTTGGTCCATTCTTATTCTTAATGTATACTTTCTGTTCTGTTCTTAGATACCAAGGAGACTTATTTAAACTTCCTATAAAATGCATGCTGAAAATGAGTGTAATTACAACAAAACAAAAAACTTGAATTATTCTGTTTACATTAACTCATTCTCCCACCGTCACAAGGACTTGTCTCCCTGGGTCACATAACCTTGAACAATACAATTACTTCTTTGAAGTGACCCTTCACTAACAAATTTGTGGAAGGGCCCATTGTGAAGGCACTCAATTGTTCACTTTCATTTGGAACATTCCTACAAATGGTGCCCTTCAAGGGCACAAAAATGGAATTTGGTTATTCATCTGACAGCAGTTAGTTAAGGGAAAGCTAGTTGACATTTGCCACTGAGAAAGGTATGGTTGCTTTGTTCCATGTCAAATGGCAGCTAGAAAACTCAAATGCACTTTAGTGTTTGTGAACTTTAACTTGATAACAGACTCTAGGTTTCAGTGGTGGCCATACAGTCGAGTGATACCATGTAACAATAATGCCGTGTGTTAGGTTCAAGTCAACAACATTCAGCCAGAAAGGACTTAAAATGGTTGGAATATTTCAGCTGCTGTAGCTGTTCTGATGTAGTGAGCTATTTTAGGGCCAATGTGTGACTTCATAAACTTACTGAGAGGCATTCACAGGACTTTGCAAAGCCAACAATGGCCCTGTTCCAAAACAGCATTTCAACCCTATAAAGCTCACTGTATCATATTTGATACGCAAATTTCTAAGATCTCTAAATTATCAACATGATCAAAGCTTGAAAAGCTGAAAAACCTGTCTGCTACGATCTACTACATGCCTTTTCTTGTCTGATTGATAGTTTATACTACTTTAGCAAATAAAAGGCTTTTTAGTATAATTGTAAAAATGTCCACCTTAGGTTTTGGAACATGTGTCTTTTGCGGTGAAATACATTATCAGTATTAATGATTGACAAATTGTAGTTATAAGTAATATGTAAACGTTACTCAGGAATTTAAATAAGGTATGCATTACCATTAATATTATTTTTTTAATAATCGTTCTTAAAGGGGACATAACACACACATTTCTGCCAATCTCATGTTAATCTTGAGTACCTATATAATAGTATTACATCCTTCATATCTCCGAAGAGTCACGAGATGGAATTGTTTCCTAGCTTTTTTTCAAGTAAATATACCGGGGGTTTTTTTCAGTTTTTTTTTTCAGTAGTTACCTTCAACATTATCTTCAACGATGGTCTCTTCATCTTCCCCATCTCCAGCCTCCTCATTATCTTCATTAGCAGCTACCTTTTCCCCATCTGCCTCTTTCTCTTCCTCACCTGGTGCTCCCTCATCCTCTGCTGCTGTTTCTTCTTCCTCTGTTGTCTGTTGTGCTGATTCCTCTTCTTCTGCTAATTCTTCTTCTACATCTACCTCCATCTGCTCATCCTCCTCTTCTGCTTCTTCTACCTCTTCATCTTCTACTCCTTCTGCCTCGTCATCTTCCTCTGCTACTTCCTCTTCATCTGCTCCTTCTTCTGCCTCCTCCTCTTCCTCAGCGTCTTCCACTTCAGCCTCAGCTGCTTCTTCCTCCTTAGTTATCTCCTCTTCCTCAGAAGCTTCCTTTCCATCGTCCTCATCTTCAGCTTCCTCTGTTTCCCCATCTCCTCCTGCGTCTTTATCAGCTTCTTCAGATATATTTCCACCCTCCTCCTCATCAGCCACCTCCTCTTTCTCACCTCCAGTAGGGTTCAGACCCCTCAGCACCTCGGCTTCCTCACTTTGCAGTCTTTCTTCAGCCTGCACAGAATCCTTGAACGATCCAGTGCAAAGCAGAGCTAAGATAAGGCCCAACAGCCAGCTACGTGAAGCTACCATCTTGCAGTCACTCCCTCACACACACACAAAAAAACAGTTTATAAAAAAAATGTGTTCGTATCCACCCAAGAGGAGCAGTTTCTTATGGGGTTCAAAAATCCAAGATCTTTGGTTCTTTGGACCAAGTACTTGGAAGTGCAGTCACTGGATCCACCAGAGAGAATTAGAGAGGGAGTTGAGTGACAGAGAGGGGGCTGGTCTCTGTTGTACAGTCACATGTATATTCACACCATTCAGAGAATGGTGTAGAACAGAGGAACATACTGAGATGATTGACAGGGCCACATGCAGAAGACACACTTCTAATGCCCTTTATTATTACTTTGTCTATGTGAGAGGAAATGCGATAAATAGAAGTGCTCATGAGTAATAGAAGATTATTGGAAGGCACAAATCAACTTTAGGACCAACATAACACAAACATAGACACAACCGAGTGAAGCCAGTCCCATTTTGACCCTCCTTAGGCCTGGCTGGGTCTGGTGAGTGGGAAGCTATATAAAGAGGCTCTCGATAGCAGCAGTACACTGCATGATCTGACCTTCAATAGATCACTCAGCTGCTGAAACTCCATCCCTCCCTCACTCGCTCTCGCTTTACCTATACCGGGTACTTTTCTAAAGGTCACCTCTATACATCTTAATCACAGCATACCCTTTTATCTACTGCTGTCTGCACCTGCTACCATTTACATCACTGGATGGTGAAAATGAAATGGATTCGTATTCACTTTCTGGAAGATTTTCACATCTAGAGTAAACACCAACCAGTGGAGTTCTCCACAGGTTCCTATAGCAGAAGTCTTTCCTGACTCATACCGGAAAACTAGAGGACTTTTTGTCCACAAAATGAAAAGAACACTTATAGTATATACCACCTTTGGGGAGTATTTTAAAGGGGTCATATGATGCTAATTCAAGTTTTCCTTTCTCGTTGGAGTGTTACAAGCTCTTGGTGCATAAAGAAGATCTGTAAAGTTGCAAAGACTAAAGTCTCAAATCCAAAGAGATATTCTTTAAAAAGTTAAGACTTGTCCACGCCTACCTAAAACCTAAAACCTAAAATATCACAAAGAAAGAAGGCGTAACTTTTATTCTCGCTGTAGTATTGTTTCGTTGTGAAAGCGAAACTACTTTGTTTGG